TTCGACCCTAATTAAAGACTGTGTTACACTGGTATTAATTAAACAAAACACCTTTATGCATTTTAGCTAATTAGGATATTGTCGGAGCTCCGTTTGTGAATGGAAACAGTACTGTCATTTGCCTCGCCCTACTACCAGAGGTTCATGAATTATTAATGTGATTTGAATATCTATACAATCGTTATGTTAACCACTTTCACTAACAACAGTGCAGGGTGGTGTCCAACGTACTAGTGATACTATTTGCACCGTGACCCGAGTGATCAAGATGGCGTTGCACAATCCATACACCTTTCTCGTATTATCGACGACACTGCTTACTGTTGTATTCGTCACGATGGTTCGAAGCCGATCGACGGGGGCTCCGTCGTCGGCTTGTATCACTATGATGCCGGGGCATAATCTAGCGCCACAAGATCCAGCGACGGTTCCGTACAGGATAACAACCATTGTGACGGCATACACGCCCGGACAACCACTATCAGGTAAGGCAATGTTTATATATATATATATGTATATACACACACATGGGCGAGGACGTCGTCATTTTGAATGGATGATTGTTGTCTAATATGGCTTGTGTTGATTGGCGTGCGATGATAAGATATCACGCGTGCTGGCGGTTCTGCACCGCGGACCAACCCATACATACGTTTAATATCCGACATACAACAACCTGTGGAATCAACGTATCAATATATATATATCCCCTATAACAGTATATATCCATATTACATGTCATTCCATAGACAACATACTGGGCGATTTCGTTAATGGATAGTCGCAGTTCAGAAATAAAAGTGATGACACAGTAATTATCAACGACGTTACCACCAGTTGAATTTAATATAAGGGCGTAATAGACGCGACGATGATTCCCACGCGATGAAAGTGCGAGCCCATATCTACTTATAACTATATACCAGTTGGGTTTATTCGTTGTATTCATGGAACCACGTTTCCAACGTAAAAAAAACATCGCAACAGTTCGCGCTGAAGTGTTAATGGTATATGTTGAGCGATGATACCCCTTAGCGTTGTGCTTAATGTTATCATGTGTACGCCCGAAACACGAAGCGAGTGTTAACAGCCTGAGTGTTTCACGCTGTACACAATTTACTCCGCTTAGCCTTGGACACGGTACCAGTCCCAGACTTCCTGCTGTTTTACGTTCCACATAATGTTTGAAATTAATTCACACTATTATTAATTTATTCCTTCGGTACTAAATGTTATTGTTTTCACATTTTCGAAATTAAACAAAGCTTCCTGCAAACTATTAAGTCATAAATTTGTATAAATCGCATGACATTGTTTTTATTATGTAGAATCATGAATCTATAGTTTTATGATAACATGAAAGGAATTCCCTTTTCGTGTGTTACAGTGCCGTATTTGTAAAAAATTGACCTAATATTTTTCAGAAATCGCTCTTTTTTAGAACAATTCCATATAAAACAATGTTACAGAAACATTGCATTTTTTTTGTTGTGTAAATGGTAACACTATTTTTAAAAAATCGCTTTGTTTGGACAATTCCATATAAAACAATGCTGTAGAAACATTGTATTTTTTGTGTTAATGGTAACAAAAATATTATATCATTCACGATATATCATTCAATGACACCAGTCTATCTAAGATACTAGTATAGCATAGGAACTAATGGTAAAATAATACTTTAAAATGGCCGCTATTCACTAAAATTTTCTTGAAAAATAGGCTGGTGACCCCCACTTTTTTTGAAGTCAATAACATTATATAATTTTTTTGAAAAAACAACAATTAATAACTATAACATATTTAGTGCGTTTCTCTTTAAAGAAAAAAACACAATATATGCATAGCATATGTTCACTGTGATTTTTTCTAACAACTAAGTTAATTCCCCCACGGTCCAAGCAGTGTTGATAGCCGGGTCTATAAATAACCCCATCGAATGAGTTAATTCAGTATAATGACAACGTCTCTATTGACACGGTTAGCGAACAATGGTGCACCAACCTTCAAATACCTTCACAGTGATGAACCAATTCTAGGAGGTCACGGGATGGCACATGCGTTGTTGTCCGTTCTTCATTTGACAATATTATATCGTCGGACGAACACACCAGTGGTCGTTGTTAGTGAGCGAGACGTTTCAAGAGTACTTATAGATTGATGAGTCTATTATTCAACAACGGAATATGTTTGTTTTTCTGTGATATCACTCCTGAGTCCCGAAGTATATGTAGTTTGTGCACGCACAACACGATCTTTTGAAAATAGTACACCTAATGGAAATGAAAAAGGAAGAGTGTCGCCCTAGGTTAAAACATACCTGTCACCAAGAATACTGCTATTATTGGAAGATACGGATATTCTAACAGAATACTGCTCGTTCTCATAAGTCTATGTTCAGTTAAAGCGAACCTCAATGCGGCCTTAATTTATAGTTGTGTATATATTCTAAAGTGTATTTGAAATAAAATTGCAGTGGTTTAATTTTGTTTTAATTATAATTAATTTATTGTAGCTTAGCATTTGAAATGCTTACAATTAAACCCAAATAAGACCATTCATTGGGGTGGTAAATAACGAACGAGCATATTTAACATCCGGGTACTTATCAAAGCTATGACGTTTTACTATCTGAGCGCCTTCGTATTGTACATAACCATGCGTTCATGTTGCCCAGCATTGTGTAGTACTAGTATAAACTTTTAGAACTTGGGTTAAAACAATATGCGTTTGAACTACAGTATTCTAACAGTGGAAGCCCAATTGCGTTAAAGTACCGTACTTCCCCGACCATAAGCCCCTTCTCGAGTATAAGCCCATCCCTCTATTTTTTGACATTTATCGAGTGGAGGGTATTTGCGATTATAACATGTAACATAACATGTGACATTGTCACATTGTCGCCACAGCTTGGTATGAGACGCATTTCAATAAAACCTTTCATATGTTAGCATAGTATATAATAACTATAATAACCGCTTTATGTATCGATGTGGCAGACCTCGACGCAATTCGCTTTGGTTTCTATGGAAACCAAACTTGTATAATTCATCGTAAATGAAAAAGAAGTACTATGGACAATTGCAGGAATAACTTTATCATCATTCATCTTCTTGATTGTAACTGTTCGGTAATTCCGTGACAGATCTGAACAAAGTGATACAATTAATGGAACTTTCTCGTTATGAAACACCCCCTTTCATGTCGCGTTAACCTGTCCATATTTAGAATTAACATTTCCTAATATGGTAGGTTGCAGATACACTGTCTGATATCGCACAATTACGGCACGCAATGACACAGTGACTGCCGTGTCGTATAATAATAATAATAATAATAATAATAATAATAATAATAATAATAATAATAATAATAATAATAATAATAATAATAATAATAATAATAATAATAA